TTTCTCTTTCTCTCTTTCTCTCTCTCTCCTCTCTCTCCTCTCTCTCTCTCTCTCTCTCTCTCCTCTCTCTCCTCTTTCTCTCCTCTTCTCTCCTCTCTCTCTCTCTTTCTCTCTCTCTGTCTCTCTTCTCTTTCTCTCTTTCTTTCCTCTCTCTTTCTCTCTCTCTCTCTCTCTCTCTCTTCTCTCTCTCTCTCTCTCTCTCTCTCTCTCTCTCTCTCTCTCTCTCTCTCTCTCTCTCTCTTTCTCTTCTCCTCTCTTTCTCTCTCTCTCTTTTATTCCTCTCTCTCTCTCTCTCTCTCTCTTCTCTCTCTCTCTCTCTCTCTCTCTCTCTCTCTCTCTCTCTCTCTCTCTCTCTCTCTCTCTCTCTCTCTCTCTCTCTCTCTCTCTCTCTCTCTTCTCTCTCTTCTCTCTCTCTTCTCTCTTCTCTCTCTCTCTCTCTCTCTCTCTCTCTCTCTCTCTCTCTCTCTCTCCCTCTCTCTCTCTCTCTCTCTCTCTCTCTCTCTCTCTCTCCTCTCTTCTCTCTCTCTCTCTCTCTCTCTCTCTCTCTCTCTCTCTCTCTCTCTCTCTCTCTCTCTCTCTCTCTCTCTCTCTCTCTCTCTCTCTCTCTCTCTCTCTCTCTCTCTCTCTCTCTCTCTCTCTCTCTCTCTCTCTCTCTCTCTCTCTCTCTCTCTCTCTCTCTCTCTCTCTCTCTCTCTCTCTCTCTCTCTCTCTCTCTCTCTCTCTCTCTCTCTCTCTCTCTCTCTCTCTCTCTCTCTCTCTTCTCTCTCTCTCTCTCTCTCCTCCTCTCTCTCTCTCTCTCTCTCTCTCTCCTCTCTCTCTCTCTCTCTCTCTCTCTCTCTCTCTCTCTCTCTCTCTCTCTCTCTCTCTCTCTCTCTCTCCTCTCTCCTCTCTCTCATCTCTCTCTCTCTCTCTCTCTCTCTCTCTTTTTTTTTTTTTTTTTTTTTTTTTTTGTTACTTGCCATTCGAGCGTGAAGCAGATTCCAACCCTAAACCGCCTTTCATATCTTTTATCTCCTTTCATAGCTTCTGAGTCTCGTTTTTAATTACGCCGTTCATCCAACCATTGGCCGGGACCCGAGGGAAGGAGGGACGTTGAAAGGAGGGACTCACGGGGGGGAAGGAGGGACTCACGGGAGGGAAGGAGGGACTCACGGAAGGGAAGGAGGACCGGATTGGACTCACCGGAAGGAGGGACTCACGGGAGGAAGGAGGGACTTCACGAAGGAGGACTCACGGGAGGAAGGAGGGGACTCACGGGAGGGGGAGGGAAAGGAGGGACTCACGGGGAGGGAAGGAGGGACTCACGGGGGGAAGGAGGGACTCACGGGGAGGGAAGGAGGGACTCACGGAGGAAGGGGGAAGGAGGACTCACGGGAGGGAAGGAGGGACTCACAGGGGAGGGAAGGAGGGACTCACGGGAGGAAGGAGGACTCAGGGAGGGAGGCAGGGACTCACGGGAGGGAAGGAGGGGAAGGAGGAAGGGAAGGAGGGACTCACGGGAGGGAAGGGAGGACTCACAGAGGGACTCACGGGAGGAAGGAGGGACTCACGGGAGGGAAGGAGGGACTCAGGGAGGGAAGGAGGGACTCAACGGGAGGGGAAGGAGGGACTCACGGGAGGAAGGAGGGACTCACGGAGGGAAGGAGGGACTCACGGAGGAAGGAGGGACTCACGGGGGGAGGAGGAAGGAGGACTCACGGGAGGAAGGAGGGATTCACGGGAGGGAAGGAGGGACTCACGGGAGGAAGGAGGACTCACGGGGGGGGGGGGAAGGGACTCACGGGAGGGAAGGAGGAGGGAGGACGGGAAGGAGGGACTCACGGGAGGAAGGAGGGAGAGGGAAGGAGGACTCACGGGGGAGGAGGGACTCACGGGAGGGAAGGAGGGAAGAAGGGACTCACGGGAGGGAAGGAGGGACTCACGGGAGGGAAGGAGGGAAGGAGGACTCACGGGGGGAAGGAGGGACTCACGGAGGGGAGGAGGACTCAGGGGAGGAGGGGGAGGGGACTCACGGGAGGGGGGAGGGACTCACGGGGAGGAAGGAGGACTCACGGGAGGAAGGAGGGACTCACGGGGAACGGAGGGAAGGAGGAAGGAGGGACTCACGGGAGGGAAGGAGGGGAGGACTCTCTCGGGTTTCATTGCAGGAAGGATTGTCGTCCTCCTGGTCGGGGTTGGGTTGCATCTTGGCGAGGTTGTGATTGCGAGGACCGTGTTCTGGTTCTGGGATTGTGGTTGTGGGGGTCGTATCTGGTTTGATTTTTTGAGGATTATATTTTGGTTTGGGGGGGGGGGGTTATGGTTGTGGAAATTGTGTTTTGGTTGTGTGATTCTGAGTGGAAGAATTGTATCTTGGTGATGTGTCTTCATTGTGAGGCTGCCAGGAGTTGTTGCCTTCCTCCTGATCTTGGTTTGATTGTAATTGTGAGGACTTATTGTAAGGGTTGTGAGGATTGTGTTCTGGTCGGGATGGGTTGTGAGGATTGTGTTCTGGTCGGGATGGGTTGTGAGGATTATGTTCTGGTCGAGATGGGTTGTGAGGATTGTATTTTGGTTGTGGGATTATGACTGTGAAGATTGTATCCTGGTTATATCTTGATTGTGAGGGTTCTAAGGATTGGTGTCTTCCTCCTTCTGATCTGCACTGGATTAGATCTTTGTGACACAGGATTATGATTATGGATTTTATCCTTGTGGTACAGGGTAGTACTGTAAGGGTTGTATTTTTTCTTATTACAACTTTACTCAGCTGCTCTTAGTAGGATTTAATTTATTTTTTTTTTTTTATGAACATTTACCTATACATTAAGAGTTGAAGTTACTGCAACAAAATATCGTCCATCAACGATATATTGTTCCTGTGTAGAATATTCCCTGGCAATTGTATATTATTGTATTTATATAGAATGCTATAAGACCGGATTGTTCCTTATTATTGTGGTAAGGTCAAGGGTGAATCACTTGGCCAAAACGTTTGATAATAAGGGATTGTCCTAAGAATTCGTTGTGCGACCTTATTAGAAGCACAATATGATATTGATAATTGATTAGTTCATACTTGCTTCGTTAAGGGTAAACTGATGAAAATGTGATGATTTGCAGTTTGTTGGAAATCGTGGTGTAGTATTTTGTTGTATAGATAGATACATGAATGGATGAATAAAGAAATAATAGTGATTGAAATGATGAAGTGAATGATAGTGATATTGAATGAAGTGAATGATAATGATGGTAATAGTGATAATAGTAATTAATAATAACAATGATGACAGTTATAACTAGCAATATTAATAGCAATTGCATTAGTGATAATAATGATAATAATTATAACTGACAATAATGATAATTATAAGTTATAATGAGATAATGACTATAATGATGATGGTACTGATGATGATACTAAGGGGGATAAATAATAATGAATATAATAATGATAATGATAAAGTAAAATAATAGTAATAAAAATGAATAATAACAATGTTAGCAATAATGATAATAAGGATGATCGTGATAATGAAAATAATGATAATCGTGGTAATAAAAAAGATAAACATAATAAACACACAACAAATACCGATAGAATAGAAGAAATATTATATACTTACAAAACCCTCATTCGATTGGCCAGTGCAGCTGCTCGGGGTTAGCGACGCCGACGCCGCGACCCGGGCAGCGGAAGCGCCGCCGACGCGACGCCGCGCCCCGGACGGTCGCGGAGGACGCCACGCAGCTGCTCCTTCTCTGGCGACCGCTGGCACCCCCGTACGTCAGAGGGACCACATTGCCTTTTGTTTTCATTTATGCGTCTCGGCAGCTGCTTCGTATCCTTTTTCTGGGCTTGAAGGAGTCCTCGCGGTCGCGGCGTGGCCCGACTGTGCCGCTGGAGGAGTGGAAGCAGCCGAGGATGCGATTCGCTCCCTCTTGCGCGGGCTTGGTTTGGGAGCCGCTTGCGGAGGGCGCGGGCGGCGGCGGCGGGGGACTGAGCTCCTCTTCATCATCATTATTCTTTGTTTTCTTCTCTTTTCATTATTATCATTATTATTATTATTATTATTATTATTATTATTATTATTATTATCCATAATATTGAGTTATGATTATTATTATTATTATATTATTATTATTATTTTTTATTATTATTATATTATTATTATTATCTTTATTATTATTATTATTTTATTATTATTATCTTTATTATTATTATCTTTATTATTATCTTTATTATTAATTATTATTAATCTTTATTATTATTATTATTATTATTTTATTATTATTATTATCTTTATTATTATTTTCTTTATTATTATTATTATTATTATTATTATTATTATTATTATTATTATTATTATTATTATTATTATTATTATTATTTTATTATTATTATTTTATTATTATTTCATTATTTATTATTTTATTATTTATTTTATTATTATTATTTATTTTATTATCTTTATTATTATTATTGCTGTTATTTGTTGTTGTTATTATAATTGTATTGTATTGTATACCTTTTTGCGTCTAAATTTGATCTGTATTTTACTTTATTTTTCTTCTCTTACTGGAAAAAAGTTTCATTATTTGTTTATTTGGGTAAAACCTTTATTCCGCCAACACAAACTATGCTATTCATTGTAAAGTTTTATGTCCGAGGTTCTGGAGTTAAAATGCTGTTGCTAAAAAGATTTTCTCAACTGTACGATCGCATGTTCACAACTTCCTCTTCACTGCCTATTTTTCCCTAAATAACTACGCACACACACACACACACACACACACACACACACACACACACACACACACACACACACACACACACACACACACACACACACACACACACACACACAACACACGCACACACACACGTGTGTTTGTGTGTGTTCAGATTCATAAATGTATATGTATGTGTGTGCAGGCGTGGGTGTGGGCATTTGCATATGTATGTGTATGTGTGTGTGTGTGTGTGTGTGTGTGTGTGTGTGTGTGTGTGTGTGTGTGTG